CACGGCACGGGGTTCGAACGAGCGGGGATTTAAAAATGGCGGCGCCCCGCTTATGCAAATGAAGCCCGGGAAATTCAAATCCCGGGCTTGATTTGCAATTGCGGATGACTACATTACCCTCCTAGTTCGAACTAGCGGGGTAGTGTAGACAGACCCTCGGTCACCTCTGGCACCTCCCCCCCCCACTCAACATACCCAAACCCTCTGTCCCCCTCTTGCACCTATACTCCCTCCCAGGTCTGGTACCCCAATCCCCTGCCCCAGATCACAATCCCTCCTCCCCTAGGTTACAACCCACATTCCTGTACCCCAGTCTCCTCCCCTAGGTCACAAACCAAACCCCTGCTCCCCAGTCCCCTGCCCTAGGTCACGAGTGTCTCCTTCACTGAAACTTCCTCCCAGACCCCAGTCCCTTACCCCACGCGCCCTTCTGCACCCAACCTCCCTCCCACACTCCGCAGCTCCTCCGTTAACATCATGGAGAGTGCAGCGCACGACCACTTTCCAAAATCTTGGAGTGCCCCCCTCCCCTGTCAAATATTATTGCCCACCCCTGGTGTAAAGGCTTTGTACACTGAAGACACCTTTACATAACAAATCGCTGTTTTGGCAGGGCACGGGGAAAGGGAGGAGGTAAGACTCCAGGAAGATTTCCGGCCATCCAATTTCTGCAAGCGTGGGGCTTGCTAGATATTTAGCTAATCAAAACCGAAGCCACATGTGTTCATCTACCTAGGAACCTATCGGTCTGCTGCAGCAAAGGGGCCAGGCCAGAGAGAGGTCAATGCAAGGTATCCCATTTGTTACCCGCTGGATGGAGCAGGCTTCCAAAGGCAGATGTTTCGCTAGCAGACCCTCTTCCCTCCTGCTTTGTATGCTTCTAAGTACAAACCACTGTCCGAGTTGGCCAACCTGCGGGGGAACACAACACAACTCAAAGACACTTCGATATTATGGTGCTGAACCTCAGACAATAACCTCGCTCAAAAAGCAGCAACCCTGCTACTGATGAAAAAGGGAGGGGGACGCATATTGAGAGCAGAGGACAGATATTCCCTCGGCACCGTCCAAAGCAGTACACGGACTGTGGAGTGCTCCTGCAGCCCCAACAGGGCGAGACACCACGCTGGTGGCCTGCTTTGCACACACATCTCCACCCTGTCACACAGTCAGCAGGCACTAGAGAGTTGTGCTGTGCTGCCTGCAGGTCCCAGGACTCAGCGCGGGTGCACAGCCACAGAGCACTGACATCTTGCCCACAAGTCCCAGGGCATAGTGCAGGCGCACAGGCAGAGAACATTGACATGCTGTCCGCGGGTCCCAGAGCACAGTGGGGACACACAGGCAGAGAGCCATGCTGCACTGCCCAGAATATAGATGGTGGGTTCAAAGGCAGAGAGCCGTGCTATGGGTCCAGGGCACAGCACAGGTGCACAGGTGGAGAGACGTGCAGAACAGGGCGCAGGCAGGGTCACACAGGCGGAGGGATATGCAGAATAGGGCACAGGTGGGGGCGCACAGGAGGAGGGATGTGCAGTACAGGGTACATGCGGGGGCGCACAGGCGGAGCGATGTGTATAACGGGGAGAAGGCGGGGGCTCGCAGGCAGAGGGATGTGTAGAACAGGGCACAGGCGGAGGGATGTGCAGTACAGGGGACAAGCAGGGGCGCACCGGTGGAGAGGTGTGTAGAACAGGGTACAGGCAGGGAGCACAGGCAGAGGGGTGTGCAGAACAGGGTACAGGCGGGGGCATACAGGCGGAGGAGTGTGTAGAACAGGGCACAGGCGGGGTCGCACAGGCAGAGGGATGTGCAGTACAGGGTACAGGCTGAGGGGTGTGCAATACAGGGTACAGGCGGGGGCGCACAAGCAGAGGAATGTGAAGTACAGGGTACAGGCGGGGGCGCACAGGCGGAGAGATT